GAATGAACAAAAAAGGTAATGCAATACCGTAGCCATTCTGTTTGTTCTCTGACACTCCTTAAAACAAATTTTCTTCCTGGCTTCATCAGCATGCATACCCCAGGAATTCTTCCCTTTCAGCAATCTGCTTATTTTGTGTTCAAGAGTAGAAGTAGGCAAGTAGGGTTAGTTGATTACTGGAGTGAATTTTTAAGTCTAGCAAGACCAGTGTGTGCAGTTTTGCTTGGTGCCATCTCTCTATTGTAGCTGAATAAAACAGTAATTGGTTACGCATCTGCTCTTTATTGTGACTCTGATTAAATATTTCCTGTGACTGAATAGATGGTAACATCTGTTACAGAAAGGTAGGTGGCAGAACTTTAATTTAACATACTGTAAAATATGCTGTGAGTTTAATTAAACAGCATCACTGAAATACTGAAGTATCTTTGCATTCATAAAGTAGTAATCACCTATGGTCTAGATGTTTTCTAGGACACGTTTTTCTCCCCTGATTGACTTTGTCAGAAATTCATTTGGTACCATTCTCTTGAGTCTTTGACAGATCGTTGTGTGAAGTCCACTATACAAATGTAGCATTTCCCAAAACGATTGAGCAGCATAGCTCAATATGTCTAATAAACTATTTTTTAATTAATACAGTACTTGTAAACTGCCACCCTTATTGAATATAGTTGAGTAATACAACACTTTACTATTTTTTTTGAAAGTACTTTTGTTTGTCTTTTTTAAAAATCTGATTACTAAGTTTTAGCTTTTGTGAATTCGAAAGTCCTGTACTTCTTGTTGATTTTTCATCCTACTTGTAGGATTACGAAGTAGAAGGAAAGTGAATTTATCTTTTCAGAACCTATTTGTATCACTTAAAAGTTATTATTAACTACATCTGACTAACAGTATGTAACAGGTCATTTTGAAGCCTTTTTTCCTTGCTTTGTTTGACTGGGATTTGGTGCTTAGCCTTGACTTGTGTTGATGTTTTCCCTCACTCCCCCTTTCCTGTTGTCCAGTGTGTTTTAACTACAAAAGTTTCAAAAATGTGAAAGACTTTGACTGGTTTGTATACTACTGGCTGTTTCACTAATCAATATTTAATATGGTTTTCATAGGATATGTAACATGACACTGATATTCTGGACAGGTAATTTTCATTGTTTGAAAACCTTACATAATAAGGGGAATCAGGTAACTGCTAGAAATGAGCACCTTATTTATTTATTTTTTTATAATCATATTGCCAAGGATCTGTTTTGTGAAATCTACACTTGAAAAACCTATAGCTTCTTACTGTTGCAACTAGCATCAAAATAGTTCTGAAATTGTCAAAGTGAATTCAATATTTAAAGGGACATTGTCACTTTTTAAAAGCTGAATTTACATCCTAGTTCTGAAAATTCTCTAGTTATTGCTCCCTTGCTGAAAGTTTATAAGGCTGTTTGGTGGAATTCAGAATACTAATAAAGGCAGTGAAGCTTGTCCCCTTCATCTTCTCCTTCATATCTTCTGTATGCACTTGCCTGCTTGTTGCCCCTTTGGTTGCAGCTTTGCTCTGGCTGTGTGCACCCCCTTGCTGCGCCTGGGGCAGAGCGTGCATGCTTGCTCTCTCCAGAACAGTGCATGAGTGCCGTGGCCATGCTGGTGCATGAGGAGAGTGCAGTTACTGGCCATGACGCTGGCTGCAGGTGAAGTGCTGCTGCCCAATAGATACAATAATGGAGGTGTTTCTCACCTAATCCTTTGTGTTTGCCGATGAGCTGTGAAGGTAGAAACTTTTGTGTAGTTAATGTGAGAATTTCACAATGTAAAGATGTAATCTCCTGCATTTGACTGTGTCCCTTTAAATTCTACATGCCAGAATGTATAACTGCCAAATCTTGTTCGTACTGATGCCAGGTGGTGCAGCTGATTCGCTGGAGGGAAGGGATGCCATCCACAGGGACCTTGACAGGAGTGGGCCCAGCGACCCTCACGAAGTTCAGCAAGGCGAAGTACAAGGTCCTGCGCCTTGGGTTGGGGCAATCCCAAAAATTAATGCAGACTGGAGGATTAATGGAGTGAGAGCCCTGCAGAGAAGGACTTGGGGATACTGTGGGATGAAAAATTGGACATGAGGCAGTGATGTGCACTTGCAACCCAGAAAGCCACTTGTATCCAGCTGTAGCCAATGGTACAAGAAAGACATGGACCTGTTGGAGTGGATCCAGAGGAGGGCCACAAAAATTATCAGAGGGCTGGAACACCTCTCCTATGAAAAAGGTTGAGAGTTGGGGTTGTTCAGCCTGGAAAAGAGGAGTCTCTGGGGAGATCTTATTGTGGCCTTTCAATACTTAAAGGAGGCTTATAAAAAGGACACAGAGAGACTTTTTACCAGGGCCTGTTATGACAGGACAAAGGGTGATGGTTTTACACTAAACGAGAGTACATTTAGATTAGATATAAGGAAGAATTTTTTACAGTGAGGGTGGTGAAACACTGAAGGAGGTTTCCCAGAGAGGTGAGAGATTCCTCGTCCCTGGAAAGGTTCAAGGTCAGGTTGGATGAGTCTCTGAGCAACCTCATCTAGTGGGAGGTGTCCCTGCTCATTGCAGGGGGGTTGGACTAGATGACCTTTAAAGGTCCCTTCCAAACCAAACCATTCTATGATTCTATTAAGCAGTCCAGAAAAGGGTATTTCTTGGTAATGTCCTCTAAAATGAAGTAGCTTGTCAGCAGAGGGCAAATGGAAATTAACATCATTAAAACAATGCCTGGTAAGGCGTAAACCATATTAACATCTCTGTGTCTAACTACAGCTCAGGAGCCATATGTGGCAGGAGTTAGAAATGAGATTTTTTTCACAGAGCTTAAGTGAAACGATGTTAACTGATTTATGTGATTATATGTAACTGTGTTTGTATAGATATAAAACTGTTTTACACATCTATGTGTAAGCACACAGAGTTTGGTGCTTTGGGCCTTAAAAAGTAATCCCAAGCACTGCAGAAACCGATAAAACTGAAAGCCATTGAAAGAGCAGTTCCCAAGCAGAATAGGAAGGAGAGTGGAAGAGAAGGGAAATAAATGTGTTTGGATCTGATCATATTTTGAAAAGAAACAGAAATGTGATGAGCACTGAAAACCTGTTCCTAATTCTTGACCGTATGTCCAAGAACAGGAAGATACTTGGTGAAGCCCAGAAAATTGTCAGTAGTTTGTTTATGGGATGGGCCTTTCCTGATTTCAGTCCTGTCTTTCTATGGTACAGTGAAAAAAGAAGTCTAGGCAAATAAGAAGCTACGCAGTGGTAGTTGTTTCTCTTCTTTCTTCTTTAATTTGTGAACATAGCTGATTAGTTACTGCTGATTAATCACACATGAAAAGCCCTGATGGGATTAGGTGCAGGGGAGGACTGTGCAGACTCCCAAGGAAAGATCATTTCAATTCAGTACAAGGTACTGGTGCAACCTGAATTTTATTTTAGATTCACTATGGGATCGGTGTGAAGTTACTGGAACTCAGGCGTTCCAAAAGCTAATTAAAATACCAAATTATTTAGTGAGAAAATTTGAGGATGGATGGACATCAAAACCTTAACTAAATCTAGTCTCATTTATGTATCTTTACATATTTTAATTTAGTGATGTAAAAACCAAAGCAAATTGAAAAGTGTTTTTATTCATGGTGCATACTGTGTTTTTGGTAAGCTGTGCTTTTCCTTGGTTTTATGATATGTTAAAAAAGCTGAAAATACCCTATCAGAATCACCGAACTGGTTAATGCCTAGTCTTGTCAATAGCGATGGTGCTCATTCCTAGCTTAAGATCTAGTGTGTTGGTGGATCTTAAATTGGAAGTGGTCCTGGGATTTTCTCTGGTCAACTTATTTAAAAGGAAGCTTGGTTGCCTTGTTAGCTTTGCCAACTCTGCTATCCTGTTTCTCTGTAGACTGTTGCAGCTATTTTAAGTTATATTTGTTGTTTCAGAAATCATTTGTGCTGGAGAATGAATTTTTATTTTGTTCCCATGTTCATGATTGAAAAATTTTGAGTAATCAGCCTTAAAACATTTGAAACGTTTAACAAGTGGTACCTCATGAAACTAAAAATAATTTCTGTTAAATATCAGGTTTAATTATAAAAAAAAGTCCAGTAATTAAATATTTGTAAAAAATAAGATTTTTGACAGTAAAGAACATATTCTCCACCTTTATGCAAGAAATCAAAGCATAATTTGATTTTTCTTAAACAGGGTAAAGCAGTAGATCATACATGGTAATATTCATTGGTGATACTGTCAGGTGATTTTAAGGATATTAAAATGCATATTTGGCTTTAAGAATCTGGCAGAAATTAACATCATCAACCTGGTAAGTCAGGTGTACTTCCACTCTTCTTATAAGTTCATGGACACTTTTACTGTCCAAGACAGTGAAACCCATGAGCTGTCAAAAACGGTGGAAAGTAGTTTTCTGTCATTAAAATTAATTTCTGCTTATGTGTAAACAAACACATCTATTAAATTGTGTATACTAACACTTAATGTTGGATAATATGTTTTTAACCTGACAGTGTCCCTAAATTACCATGTCTGTCTGCTTTCATTTTCCAGCTGGGTTTTAATTTTGCATGCATTTCGGTGAAATACAGTATGCATAATAGTTGTTTCCTGGAAGCATTTTGGGGCTGTCGCTGCTAGTGTTCTCCAAAATGAGCAAAGTAGTGGAATTTATGTTCCTTTTCTGGAGGTTTGTTAGCTAATGCATAAGTAATGCAAAAGGGATTCCACTTTATTTACGTATAGGCCTATGTGTTTTTGAACTTAATGTTGTTTGAACAATAGCTGTAAGTAATAGGGATTCCCTTCTCTTTAATGACACCCAAACTCAGAAATTTAGTAGAACTAAGTATTTATATTTTGAGTAAAAAAAATTGAACACTGGTTAGTTTGGCAGAGCAATTTGTAATGTGTAATGCTTGTGTTAGTTTATCATAGGAGCCTCTGTGAAGCTGCTTTCTTGAAGTAATGCCAATAGAAAGTGGAAGTTGTGCATCTGCTCGCCAAGCAAAGCAGAAACGTAAGTCGCACAGTCTTTCAATCCGAAGAACCAACAGTTCTGAACAAGAACGGGCAGGACTGCAGAGAGACATGTTGGAAGGACAGGTAAGGTAATACACTGCCACTTGAGTATCTTCTGTAACTTTTTTATGAGGAGTGTTTTCTATGCAAAGAAAAACTATTCGTGCGTTTGGACTCTTACAACCTTACTTAGGAAAGGAGTGACAGGCAGCTGAGAGGTCAAGGTATGCTGTCACTTATTGTAGTAAACCAACATTTTAAGCTGTTTTAGTATTTCTCATCAAACTCTAGGTGTAGTATGCTGTAACATCTAAATGTTTAAAATGTTTTATATATCATCTTATTTAATTTTGCTGACCTTGAACAACCCGTGGCAGGTTCTAAGGAGTAGAGAGTGTTAATGCCCCTTCACAGTGGAGCTGTAAACCACATAAAATCTAGATGAGTACTTCTGCAGATAAACAGATAACATTGTTATATGGTTTTTTAATAAGCTAATTTAAATAATGCTAACTTTAAAGAGAGTAAAGGAAGTGGATGCATTTTACTGTGCTCGTTATTTTAGGACAGGTTTAGATTTGCTTATGCTTTCAGGCTCTGAGAAGTGGATTGAAAACCTTTCCTACATCTTCTCTGTTTTGAAAGTTGTAGGGTAACTTAGTTTCTTTTATAACCTTGCTGTATGGAATTATTAGGTAGCTGAATTGGAAATAATTCTTCTAACTTCAGTGTTTCTCTTAATTAGTGTTTTATTTGTATAGTATTCTTGCTTAATCAATTTTGTTTCAAGTTGGTTTTAATTGGGATCTGTTTAACATTCTAGTTGACTGTGAATGCATGAACAAAAGTACTGTCTCAAGGGAAAGGCAGATGAAGATGCAGAAAGGAATATCCTGGGGGGCACAAGGAGCGTAATACTACTTCTTTCAGCACAGTGCCACAGTTTAAAGTAGCTGTGAAACTGGTGTAAACTGAATTATGCACAAAGCAGATGTGCTCTATGTCATGGCTATTGGTGTTTTCTCTTGCTCTTCTCTTTAAAATTGGTGTGCAGGAATACCTTATAAAATCGCGGTCAGGATAAGCTTTTCTAATTGTTTCTGACAACAGTCATCTTGACTATATGAACCAAAATGTGAGTGAGATTAAATCTCGTTGTTCAGATCCTGACTTGGTGGAAGAGGCATGGTGCCCTCTGATGGCTGGTATGCACACACTTCTTTCTAGTTCAGTCGGTTTGCAGAAATGCAACCAATTTATTTTGGTTTGGGATTGCTGGAACACTTAAGAAAAAAAACAAGCTATAATAATCCTTAAACTTGCATTGAATAATGAAGTTCACTCGAATTTGGGTGGTGTCCTCTGCTAACATTTGCAGTCCCATTCTAGTAATCCTTCATCTGTACTTCTAGACCTGAAACAGTGGTTTGTTATGTGGCAGAAGCTGACTCAGGTGGCCGTTTTTTTTTTTTTTTTTTTTTTCTTTTCTCAGAGCTGATGATTTCCAGATTTTGAAATTGCATACTTTAAAAAAAAAAAAAAACAACCAGTAGGTGTTGCTGATAGCCACATTCCCTGTGTATTTGATAGGTGAACATTGATGTATTAATAATACAGTATACATGATACCATTTTAATTTCTCTTTGAAATTTAGTAATTTCTTTCCTTGCATAGATATTTCTCAGTTTTTGAATACAGCTGCATTATTTACAGGTTTGTCCAGTAGTACCATGATATTTTACTGAATTCTGAGATGATGGGTTAGATATGCTGCAAAGGAGTGTTGGAGCTTTTTCATTGTTAGTGTAAGGCTCAGTTAAGTGGAAACTTCTTTTAAAAAAAATTATATCTGACTACCTAAATAAATAGTAAGTGCAGTAAGCCAATTCACATATTGTGGTCCACCAGGAACTGAAGAATAGAAAAGGTTTAGTAGAATTTATTTACATAGTGAGCAAGGACAGTTCATCCTTTGGTCCATACTTGCAGTGGATTAATTTATTATAGTTATTAGACTAATGACCATATTGTCTCTTTTCTCCTTTCTAATTTGCCATTTTTTAGTAGCATCCTGTGCTTTACATTTTAAGATATTTGTTAGTACTAGTTACTCAGTGTACTGCAGTCAGTTGTCTTCTGCATTGCTCACTGTCTACTCAACAATGTTTGATAACAGAATCATTGATATAGTGAGAACCTTGACTCCCGACAGAAATCAGTACTTGCTTGTTTTGGGTATGGTATGTATTTGATCAGGGAAAATATGGTGCTGATCTCTGTTTTATAGGCAGATGAATAAAATTTATATGATTTGCCAACAGAAACTTGTGGTCAGCCTGTGTATTGAGCTCAGATTATATAAATCCTGTCTTGGTGGTTTTATTAGATACTTGGTTTTGTGCCTCAGAATTGCTATGTTGATTATGCTGAAGAAAAAAGCCCTCCTCTGTGAATTTGCTTCAAAATACTTTCTGTGAAGAGAAGCTTGAATAATATCTGGGCAGGGAAAGATTAGAAATTGCAGTTTCCTTCACACTTAGTTGTGGTTAGGGACAAAAGTAGGTAGATGTTAAAAAGATTTTTAAATGGTTAGTTTGTCTCAAGCTTTATTACTAAGGTGCTTTGTGATGCCAACTTCCTAACCTAATGCATAGTCAACTTCTGAATTATTTTGTCAACCAAAGGTATTCTTTCTTCTTGGAGAGAACCTTGACTTTATATTATAAATCTTTTCCATCTTTTTTCTTTAATGAGTTGTATGTGTATATTGGGTTTATAATTTATCTCTAGTAAAAACAAAACCCACAGGTGATTTGAGTGCTGTCCCTTGGAAGAAAGAGTATGTAAAATGAATAATTTTATGATATACAGAGCTTTTTGTTTTGTGTTCTATGCTAGTAGCAGTTTTAATTTCTCTCCTTGCTGGGAGATAAAGAGAACTGTTAAAATCAGTTTAAGACTGAAGGATAATTATGTAAAATATATGTAAAGAAAAATATAAACCCCAGTATTTTGCCTTCTAGGATTCTAAACTACCATCTTCTGTCCGGAATACACTCCTTGAACTTTTTGGACAAATAGAGCGGGAGTTTGAAAACCTCTATATTGAAAATTTGGAATGTGAGTATCTGGTTTTTTTTCCAGCAACCTGTGGATTGTTTGGATTTAGGATATAGTAGCGCTAATTGAGACACCTTGGATACTGTAGTGTAATTACTGTAGCTTTTCTGTGAGGAGTTGAAGAATTGTTTTGAGCCTGTAGCCAAAGGTGGTGTTTGTACCTTTTCAGAAAAGTTGCTCTCCTAGATCTTTGACGCAAGTAGTGAGAACATTCTCCTTGACTCTTAGGCAAAGAAAGTAAAGTGTCTGTCTCCTTGTCGTTGTAGGCTCTGGTATATACCATGTTAATCTGGCAGTAACTCCATCCAGCTGTTGAAGTTTGTGGCTTTGTTGTATATTTGTAGGCTTAATTTTACTGATGTAATATTAGTAAATAAAATTGGAAAAGTACCTTACTTGAAAAAGTGTAAAATGTGGTGGGTCTGGATCATACTACTTAGTAATTGCATAACTGACACTTGCAGCCGTTCATGAATTTTGAAATTGAGCTCTCAGATAAAGACTCCAGGTGTATCTGCAGAAAATGTTATTTGTTTAATGACGGTGCAGTCATATGGTAATGTCAGTGATCCAAGCTGATGTGAGAGGAACCAACGTAAGTAATGGAGGCAGTCATACAGTAAAGCCTGTGCTCAATTTTTTCTTGCTGCATTTGGGAAGGTGTGTTGCATGTCTTGGCTTCTGAATTGTGGTATCTGTCTGGTTTGTCTCAAAAGTCAAATTTTTTTCCACACCTGATCTGTTCCCACAGTTAAACCAAACACTCATGTTAAAAAAAAAGTTCTTGTGTGCTTTTTGAAAATGTGCTTTTTGTTCGTTAAACCAAACACTCATGTTAAAAAAAAAAGTTCCTGTGTGCTTTTTGAAAATGTGCTTTTTATTCTGAGATTGTGTTGGTTAAGGCACTTTTAGTGACAATTTGCACAACTGAGTTCTCAGCCGCTGGTAGCAAGAAAAGTAGGGATTGCCCATCCCACCTCATCCCCCACCCCAAACTTTAAAAATGTTTGTCAGAAAGCAGGCAATGAATTTGGACCCTCCAGAGTATGATTATTTTCCTTGCATTCCATTTCTGTTTCTTCTGCGTTGTCGTCCTTCACCTCACTGTTCTAGTTCACTCCTGCCCTTTGTGATCTCTTTCCACCCCCCTGATGATTTCTAAATTTTTCTCTTCTGATACTTGGTCTGTTATTTTTTGTTCTTGGACTAATTCGTACATTAGTGTTGCAGATACTGTACATGGAGAATCCCAGGTTTTTACTCCCTGGCTTTTCATATCCTTTCCCTTATTACCACTTATTTCTAGTTTCTTCCTTTTCTTATTGCTTCTAGGCTTCAGTCTCTTAATCCTGTCAGCCAATTCTTATATCTGTCTGGCTTGTTTTGTTTACTTCTCTTTTATACTGTCTGTGTTTTATAAAAGTTCAGGTTTATGTGACTGGGGGAACACAGGAAGGAGAATCTTGCTTTGCTCATTTCAAGGACTTGGATGTGGTATGGAAGTATCAACTGACTTTTCTAATGCTTAGAACAGAGACTTCAGTGAATTTCTTAGAAATGGCAAGAATCATACTCGTTATGGGTTGCGGTCTCGCACATTTCAAAGCCCGGGAGTGAATGCCTTTTTTTAAAGGAGTCCTGAGGATTTGTGGAAAGATAGACCTAGACTTATTCTCAAGAACAGTGAAAAACTGCTTGATTAAAGCCTCTCAATAAGATTTCACCTGAGAAGAACACTTAAAGAGTATCAGCCCAGATTTTGAGAAAAAACTATAAGCCTCTGAAAACGTTTTTTGTAAAATGTTGAACAACTTTGAACCAGCCCAGTCACTGACTTGTTTTACTATGCCATCACTCTGTCTTGTGTTGAAATGGCATTGGTGAGAGTTATAAGTAGTTGTCAGAAAAGCATATTCTTGTTACAAATACATGCTTTGTCTGATGTGCAATGAAAATATTTTGATCATATTTAGTGTTTCTAAAACACTCGAATGTAGAATGTATATGTTGTTTGACATTTTTAATGTATTTCAAAGTATAAAAATATAGATTTGCTGTACTACCTTTCTTATTGAAACTCTAACAGTAGACAGGCCTTCAGGGGAGAGTACTATTTCATGATTAATAAAATCTTTGTCAAGAAGTGACGCTAATTCTGTGGCTAAAATATTTATGGTGCTGCAAGTTTTCTCTCTTCTGTTGGATTTAATTCAACACAGGTGTGCCAGGTATTTCACAGAAGCTGTTTTGTTAATTCTTAGACACATTTATTAGTACAAGTAACTAATAAATAATTAGAAGCCACTAATACTTTCCTTGGAATGTGGGTCAGGGTGGGTCTTTGGAAAATTCAGCATGAATTTTGGTTTATGTGTTGGTGAGACCTGCTTTTATAAAATCACAGTTGATCTCTTTTCCTGTCCCTAGCATAAAATAGATTACTTGCTAACCATAACAGCTCTTAAATAGTATGTTAATGATGATGTTAATGATGCACAATTTTTGTATTAATGTGAATTTTTGTTATTGTTAGTACGTAGAGAGATTGATACACTGAATGAGCGTTTAGCAGGCGAGGGACAGACAATTGATGGAGCGGAACTGAGCAAAGGACAACTGAAAACAAAAGGTAAGAGAACCACAAAGAATCCTGAACTAGTATTTTTGAATTTACATTTTGTGTGCGTTTGTTGTGGTTTGAACCCACTCGGCTAGCAGCATAACACCACACAGCTGCTCACTCACCTTCACCTCTCCCAGAGATGGGGGAGAGAATTAAAGGGGTAAAGGGAAAAGAGACTCATGGGTTGAGAAAAGAACAATTTAATAACTAAACTACAACAAAACTGAAAATAATAATGATAATAGTAATATATAGAAATGAGTGATAACACAGTGGAACTGCTCACCACCTGATGATCAAGGCTCAGCCCGTTTCTGGCTAATGATCCTAGAGGAGGGAGAGGCTTGAAACCGCGATCACAGAAAAGAGATAAGAGCCTGAGCTGAGAGGCTGAAAGCTGACCCTGAGAGAGGAGTGACCCAGAGAGAGAGAGAGAGAACTTCTAGACAGAACCTCATCTATACACTGGGCATGACGTGCATGGTATGGAATATACCATTGGACAGTTTCAGTCTTAATCCTAAATTTGATGTTGAATCCTAGGCTAGTAACTGGGGCTGTGCTTCCTCCCAGCTTCTCCTGCAGCTGTAGACACTGGCACAGCAGAGACGCTGAGAAGTCCTTGACTGTCCTGGCAGCAACTGTAAACATCAGTATGTTATCAGCTGCCTTCTCAGCACAAAACCAAAACACAGCCTCACTCTAGCTACTGTGATGAAAGTTAACTCAGTCCCAGCTGAAACCAGGACAACTTTACTGGCCAAAACTTAGAATCTTTTTGAAGTGAATTACTAACAATTACTTATACAAATAAGCTAATGCTGTATTTGAAATATCTTCATCTGAATTTGTCTCAACAGCCAGTCATAGTACCAGCCAGCTTTCTCAGAAATTAAAGACAACTTACAAGGCATCTACTAGCAAGGTATGAGATCTCTGCTCATCAATGTGTATTAACATGGCTGACTTTAAGTTGTTAATTGTGTTTTCTTTAAGATGAGTAGTGCTATTCTCTAAGTAAACCTGCCTCATGAGGAACGGTATCTTTATCTTGGATTCATCAATTACCCTTTGCTTCAACCCCACTACATGACATTTTCACAGTAATTGCTCACCTTGTTTAAAGAATGAAGGTTGGAGGGGAGAGAGTGTGTGCACAGGTGTGTATGCGGGATTACTCTTGTAAAGAGAACAAAAAAAAAATCAATTTTGTGAGGGAAATAGAGAACTTAGTAGGTAATGAATTTCTGAAGAAAGATTTGGCTATTGGAGTTGAAATAGGGATTTAATTAGGCATCTATATGTGTACTATTATAGGGTTTTGTGGTTTTTTTTATATTTTTATTTTTTAGCTTTAAGATGAGAGGGGTTTGTTTCCTTTATGTTGCAAGCCTTGCAAATTAATAGTTACCCGTAGCACAGTTACCCTTTCTGATGTTTTTAATTTTCACATCTGCAGCTGTCTGGTATTTTTGTTCTGCTCTTTCTCTCCCCTTTTTCAATTTTCATGGAAAGTTTTCTTGCTGCTCCTTTTGCCCTATCTCAGAGTCATTTAATTATATATTATTAAGGATAAATGAAATGTGAGGAAACCACAGTGAGATCTGTTACATGAACCAGCTCTGTAAGAAGCTCTGTGCTGACCTCTATTGCGGGCTAATATGTGGTTATGGAATGACTGTAGGTGTCTTGGAAATACCATCTGTTAAGCAGTCTGAAAGTTTGAGAGTAAGAAAGACTAGTGTGGTGAAATAGATCTAAGTTACTGTGTTTTATTTGGTCTCCTTTTTGTTTTATTGTTTCTCGAACTTTTTTATTCTTGCCAATCTGATGCATAGAGGTGCCTCTTCCTTTTTCTTAAGAGTTAATAACTTATGAATTCTTTAATGAGGCCACTTAAATAGGGACAGCATGATATTAATAAGGACAGTACAGTATCAGTACACCTGCTATGTAGTTATGAATTAGTACTTTCTTTAGTGTAGTGTTGAGGCTTTTGTTGTGGTTTTGTTTGTTGTTGTTTACTTGCTTGCAATGTAGTGTGCTCTTATTCCTTCCTGGGCAAGGCAGGTGGAGCTTGCAACTTCAGCGTGGGAAGCTGGGAAGTATGGGATGGAGACTCCGGGGTAACTGCCTTGCTTCCTGGTGTTCTGATATGCATGCACAGCAAAGTAGTCAAGAGTAGTGGAATGTGAAGAGTTTAATACCTTATTATAGAGACTGTACGTATCTGGTATAGCAATTGATAACCAACAGATGTTTGAGTGTGCTGATACATTTCTTTCCACAACTTGGAATCAGAGTTTACTGGGGGATAGAGAGGAGGGCAATGATAAAGTTTGAGAACATCTCTCTCCAGTGTGTTCTTTGAAGCCTTTCTGCACCTCATGGGAGTGGCTTTATTGTGACTGCTTCTTCCTTCCTACACAGAAGAGTCAAAGCTGCAGCCTTTTGTCTCTTGACCCACAAACAGACTGTAGCCAAAAGTCAGGAAAACAAATTATGATCTTTCTGTCTGTGTCCTGACTGGATGCAGGTAGAGTTCTCGAATACGCTGAGAAAATGACATTTGAAGCGTTCAGAGTTCAACAGCTTTGAAATTCTTGTCTCTATATGAGCATTGAATGAACAGTGCTGCTCACCAAAAATGAGTTGTGTTCCAAACTCAGGGGGGTAGTGGATCGCAACTTTTCTCTTCAGTCCATCCTATATACTGTTACTGGATGCCTAATTTAAAACTTGTCAGAGGTTTTTTTTT